GGATAAATCTGTTCCCATCTTAATGATAGGTCCCTAGGCTTTCCACACCAATGCGCTCTGTGCTAGAGCTAACATCCCCGGGCCTATTTCTAGAAATGAGTTTTAGGTCTCTTGTTGAGTACTCCCTCAGCCCATCTCTCTGGACTTGAGATGGCTTCCATTCAAAAATACATCCTTTCAGCCTCTTCCATTCCACCTCCCACAACCCTGGTGATAATGCATAATAAACCATGGCTTTGTGATCCACTAACAACGTAAAAAGATGTACTCAAGGAATTGTCAGGAAGCACCAACTCAGGCCCCACTACTGATAAATTCATGATAGAAGCGCCACTGGGAAACAATATATTTATGGACAGTAGTCTGAAAAGAGTGCTGCACACCTCGTTATCTAGGTAGTCTAAACCAGATCCTTCAGCAATCTCTAGATCTAAACACAATGGATCCCATTATTTTGCCACACAGAACTGCTCTCACTGAATTACATTTTGATATCATGTCACCAACATGGACAATGAGGTAAAGCAGAGTTTACTAAAATGCAACACAGCCCTTGGGGGCATGGGCTATGTTGCTGAGAATGCAGCTGAAGAGTTTCCGGGCTATTCTCCTTTGGGAACCCGAAGGAGAAATGGGCATCTCTTCCCTCTTGGTCACTGAAACACTTAATGACTGTTTCTCTGTGAACTGTTATTAGGAAGCAGGGTTTCAGTCCCAGTATCTTGGACGCAAAGCTCACTCTCCACTCCACCATACCTTCCCCTCAGCCTTGAATGTATCACCCAGCTGTCTGTCCATCACCAACAGTATGCTGTACATACCCTTGTAGTCATTCTGAATCCTTTCTGGAACAAGATGTTGTAGAAGTGATAAGTTCCACTTAGAAAAATTACAGCACAAGAAGACATTGTTTTCCATCAATAAACATTTTATGAGTTCTAAAGGCATTTTTAAAATGTGCTCCAAAGTGCTTTCTAAAGGAAAAAAAAAACTACTTTAGCAAATGTTATGTCTAAAATTAGAAAATGAATAACTATTATAAACTACAAAAATAAAAACTTTCACATTATGCATTTTTTTAAATGATGGTGAAATGTGATGGACATCATTATCCAAAGTACATGTATGAAGACATAAATTAGTGTGAATATACTTTGTATAAAACCAGAAAAATAAATTAAATAAATAAAACATGGTGTCATTTTTTAATATCTTTATTTTGTTTGTTTGTTTATTTTTATGTGGTGCAGGGAATTGAACCCAGTGCCTCAAGTGTGCTAGGTAAGCACTCTACCACTGAGTCACAACCCCAGCCCTCACATTAGGCATTTTAACTTAATACACAAAAAACTGTAGCTACATCCTTACGTAAAAATGCCCCCAAAACCATTCTTAACTTTTAAATAGACAAAAATCATCATAAATGTAATTAAAATTGAGTACTTATTTTGAATGAGAATGGAACAAGCTAGCTTCAAATGTGGTTCATAAACCTGGCATGGTGGTATATGCCTGTAATCCCATCGGCTCAGGAGGCTGAAGCAGGAGGTACACAGTGTCAAAGCCAGTCTCAACAATTTACTGAGGCCCTAAGCAATACAGTGAGACCCTTCCTCAAAACAAAAAATAAAAAGGACTGATGATATGGCTCAGTGGTTAAGCACCCCCAGGGGTTCAATCCCTGGTACCAATTTAAAAGAAAAAAAGAAGTGGTTTATAAAGCTGGGTGCTGCAGCATTTCCTGTAATCCCAGCTATTCAGGAAGCTAAGGCAGGAAAATCACAAGTTTAAGGTCAGCCTGGGCAACAGAATGATACCTTGTCACAAAAAAAAAAAAAAAAAAAAAGTAAATAAGATATTTTTTAGTTGTAGATAGACACAATACCTTTATTTTTGTATGGTGCTGAGGATCAAACTCAGTGCCTTATACATGCTAGGCCAGTGCTCTACCACTGAGCTATACAACCCTAGCCCTCAAAAAATGTTTGTACAATTTCTTCTGCTTTGCCCATACCTAGCACAGAGGATGCTACCACCCTTAGTGAGTGAGGCAGCAAAAAATTTAGAGTCCAGGCTCAGGGATTCAACAATCTCCTTACAGCCATTTGGAGTAAATTTTAAAAAGCTTAAGATGCAGAGCTGAAGATGCAGCTCAGAGGTAGAGCACTTGTGCAGCATTTGAAAGACCCTGAGTTCCATCCCCAGTTCCATACACACACACAACTTTTTTTTAAAGAAAAAAACGCAAGATTCCTTCAGTATGTAATATTTTATCTATTCATGAATGTACATATGCTTATCATTCTGATTAAAACTCCTGACCTTTAGCTACAAGTTATTAGTTGATCATAATCATGGTCACTGGTCCTCCTAGTGACCACAAATGAGCGAACTGTGCTACCAGAAATAAGTAAAAAGTGTTCTATTATAAAATAAAAGTTATATTTCCTACCCCTTTGGCAGTAACTTCATCGTCATCGAACACAGGAATCTCACGGGGCATGGTGGCACATGCCTATAATCCCAGCAGCTTGGGAGGCTAAGGCAGGAGGATTGTGAGTTCAAGCCAGCCTCAGAATTCAGTGAAGCCCTAAGCAACTTAGTGAGACCCTGTCTCTAAATAAAATATTTAAAAAGGACCAGGGATGTGGTTCAGTGACTAAGCGCCCTTGAGTTCAATCCCAGATATCAAAACCAACCAACCAGGAATCTCACAGAGAAGGTGAAACAGCATCATGAAAGTACAAGCCTTTTTTTAAAAAGCATTTTAGGAGCTTTGTCCAAACATCAAACAAAACACTAGTTAAATAATATTCTGAGGGATAAAGACAGGTCAGCTCTTGTTGCTTCTCATATTTAACAGCGGTCTAGATTATTCAGGGCATTTCAGCCATGTGAAATACCACATAATTTTCTGAAGTGCTTCATAATACAGACGAGCATCTAATAAGACTTGCAAAATGCTTGGTCTCCACCGTGAAAGCCTTGTTTTTTGTGTGACAACTTTATTGATCATCTAAAAACCACTTAGTAGCATTTGTACTCTGAGTCACCAGTGTTAGGTTACATAGGTAGCTCCCCTACATCCTAGGAATGGATCATCTCTGCTGGAGATGCTTATTTTACAGCCAATAAAAACACATGTGCCAGAAATTAAACTCACACAGTGAAGACTGCAATTCTACGTCTATAGCCAAAGACTGACATACATAAATGAAGATAGGATCTTAGCTCTTCATATTGATTGAAAACTTTTCTCATACCTGTAATTCCAACTACCTAGGAAGCTGAAGCAGGAATATCACAAGCTGGAAACTAGACTGGGCAACTGAATGTAGCTAAGTGGTAGAGCACTTGCCAAGCCAAGCCCTGGATCTGATCCCCAGGACCATCTCTCTCTCTCTCCTTCTCTCCCTACTCTGTGCCCCTTGTCCCTCTCCCTCCCTCCCTCTTTCTCTCCATCTCCCTCCATCTTCATCTTTCCCCCCATCTCCCTCTCTCCCTCCCTCTCCCTCCTTTCATCCATCTCTCCCTCCCTCCCTTTCTCTCTCCCCCTCCCTCCTTCCCTCTCTCTCCCCCCTTCCATCTCCCTTTCCCTCTTCCTCTCTCCCTGTCTCCCCCTCCCTCTCCATCTTTCTCCCTCTCCCTTCCTCCCTCTCTCCCCCTCCATCTCCCTCACTCTCCCCCTCTCCCTCTTCCTCTCTCCCTCCCTCTCTCCATCTCTCTTTCCCTCTCCCTCCCTCCCTCTCCATCTCCCTCTCTACCCGCTCCATCTCCCTTTCCTCTCCATTTCCTTCTCTTTCTCCATCTCTCTCCCTCCCTCTCTCTCTCCCTCCTTCTCTCTACCCCTCTCCCTCCCTCTCTGCATCTCCCTCTCTGTCCCCCCTCTCCATCTCTGTCCCTCTCTCCCTCCCTCTCTTCATCTCTCTCAGTCCCTCTCTCTCCCTATCCATCTCTCTCTGTCCCTCTCTCCTCTCTCTCCCTCTCTGTTCCCTTCTCTCTCCCTCTCTCCCTCTCCCTCTCTGTCCCTCTGTCCCTCTCCCCTGTCCCTCTCTCCATCTCTCTCCATCTCTCCCTCTCCATCTCTCTCTGTCCCTCTCCTTCTCTGTCCCCCTCTCTCTCCCTCTCCCTCTGGCCCTCTCTCCCTTCCTCCCTCTCTCTCAGTTCCTCTCTCTACCCCTCTCTCCCTCTCTGTCCCTCTCCCCATTCCTCTCTCCCTCTTCCTCACTGTCCCTCTCCGTTTCTCCCACTTTTCCCACTGAACACGGCCCCGGCCGCGGCGCCGTCCCGCCCCCTAGCCGGCCGCGCTCCACGGACCCTCACGAAGCCCGGCGAGGACAGGGCTCAGAGAGCGGGGAGGGCGGCAAGGCCCGTCCCCGTTTGAGGAACTTGGAGAGAAGCTGGCGACACCCGCACGGGGGACCGGCCGACCGAGAGCCCGCCCGGGCCTGCCAACGCCGTTCCCCCGGGGCAGCCGCACGGTCGCCCGGCGCCGCGGCGGCGTCAGGCAGGGCGGTGCGGGACCAGCCGCTGCCCGCAAAGTTGGGCGGCTCCGCGACTCCGGGAGGGACTCCGAGCGGCCCCGGGGTACCGGCGGGGGCCAGCGGAGGCCGGTGGACGGAGGCCGGTGGACGCAGCCCGCCCGGGCGCCGCGCGCCCCCTCCGCAGCCCCGCCGCTCAGGCCTTGGTCGCCGGCGCTGGGCAGCGCTCCGGAGGCGGCGAGGCCCGGGCCCGCCTCGACCCGGCAGCGGCGCCCCGGCCGAGCCCCGAGCGGCGGGACGGAACCCACGGCCCGGCCCGGGCGACCCACCCGCGGCGCGAACCGACGACCGCAACCCGCTCCTACCTGCTTGGCGGCCGCCGCCGTCCGCACCGCCGCCGCCCGCGCCGCTCCCGGAGGTGCGCTCGGCCCGCGCACGCCCCGCCCCCGGCCGCCGGGCCCGCCCTCCCGGCGCACACGCCACGCACGCGCGTCACTTCCGGCGACGCCCCGGCTGGGACAGGCGCTGCGCGGCGCTGGCCTCCCGGGTGCCGCTCACCGCAGTCCGCGTCTTGGCGCCAGCCGGCGCGAGGCTGCGGCGGAACCGGGCTAGGGTCCCGGGCGATGGGCAGGGAGGGCGAAAGACCAGGGGGCGGCGCCGCGCCGGAGCGGTGGTTGGCGACCGTGGGCGGAGAGCGCCCCGCGGAGCCGGCCTTCCCCGCTCCACTCGGGGTGGGGCTCGGTGCTCGTCCTCGTTCGAGGTCCGTTAGGACCCCGCTGTCCGGCACGGAGAGCTCCGTGGTTCAGGTAGGGCTCTCCTTAGGGTCGTGACGGCGTCCAGCCGCACCTTTCCCGTCCCCTCCTCACCTCCGGGGCTGCACCCGCGTCCGCGTGTCCTGGTGGGATCCCAATGCGTGGCAGGGGCGGGGAAGGGACCATCCCAGGGATAACGGAGAGCTTACGCCCACGCCTCCTCGCCGATAGGTATTGGGAAAGCAGGCACGGAAGGCTGTCTGCTGCCGCGTCTAGCAGACCCCCGTCTGGGTGACACCCTGCGGAGCTGCCATGGCCGGTTTCTAGCAGTGAGAAAGGGCAGTGGTGCTGCTGCCTCACTGGGGTTGTTGCCCTGTCACCTTGCAGCAGGATGTTAAGTAGAACCCACGAGCGGTGGCTTTGGCCCTTGTCTGCCTGCTAGTGAAGCTCTTGGACCGGAAGCCGGCGTAGTGGTCCCTGCCAAGGAGCGGCAGCAAAGTGATGGCCACGTTGTGGCCCGCACTGGCCAGCCGACACATGGGGCTCCCAGCAGGCATGGTGTGCACAGAGGGCAACCCGTCATCCAGGCGCCCTGCCTGGGTACTCACCGGGATGCCCACAGCAGAAGCATCTGATGACCTTAACCTCCCAATTTCTAACCCGTCTCCCCCCAAATTGAGGTAAAGCAGACTTGAATAAAAGTTGATACTCAAGAATTGACTAATAGCGTTGGTACGTTTCCAAACTTTCATTAGCATAAATTTGGACCAACAGCAGTGAAGCAAGTGCTAGGTAAACCCCTAGACTCTACACTTGGATGGAGAACACCTGCTATCCTGTGCCCTCTTGCATTACAAGAGTTGAGTTCCTGTTTCTAATTTTTTTTTAACTTTTCAAAGTTGTTTTTTATTCAATTATTTTACTCTAATTTGTTATACACAGTGGCAGAATGCAATTCGTTTCATATTACACATATAGAGCACAATTTTTCAAGTCACTGATTGTATACAAAGTATTTTCACATCATTCGTGTCTTCCTACATGTACTTACCTATTTCTAATCTTAATAAACCCTGTTCTTAAACTCACTTATCCTGGGGTAGGGATTTCATTCTCCAAATTCACCAGACAAGAACCCAGAAAGAAGTTGATGGTGAGCTGCTGGGGTCAGCTGCAGTACTGGAGGGCATGGTCCACCATTAAGAGCTGCAGCTGTGCATGCCCCAACTGCCAACGGAACAGAGAATCCAATTTCATATCAAAACTCTGGTTTCACCAACGTACCTGATTAAAATCAAAATGAGGTCATGCATATTAAAGTTCCATGTCACCAAACTGAAATTATCTGACCTGAAAAGCAGGAGAAAGAAGTAACAAATTTCCCAAACAGGCCATTTTCAGTTGGCATAATAATGAAGTTCCTTCTGTTTTAATCCTTATTTTAAAAAAAGTTTCTGAATCCAGTGGCACATGTCTGCAAACCCAGCTACTAGGAAGGCTGAAGCAGGAGGATCACAGGTTCTTGAGGCCAACCTCAGCAACTTAGACCTGTCTAAAAATGTAAATTTATTTATTTATGTATGTTTAGTATGGGGATTGAACCCAGGGGCACACAACCATTGAGACATTTAGAGACAGGGTCTTACTGAGTTGCTTAGGGCCTCACCAAGTTGCTGAAGCTGGCTTTGAGCTTGTGGTCCTCCTGCCTCTGCCTCCCAAGCCACTGGGATTACAAGCATGTGCCACCACACCCAGCTCAAAATATAAACTTTTAAAAGTTTGGTGGCAGAGCACTTGCCCAGCATGCCTGAGGCCCTGGGTCCCGTCCCAGCACTGAAGTAGTTTGGTGCTGAGCAGTTGGTTATTTTTCCGTTGTTCTGTCTCCCTGGCCAGTTCTTTTTGTTTCTGTTTGCTTCAGCCTTTTCAGTCCATAGAACTGGCCTGCTCTGCTCCCCCCATCAGAATGCTCATTGTAGTTCACGGAATAAAGTATTGTTCGATTCTAGAAGCTCTCTCTCACACACACACACATCACAAAATTAAGATCTTTAAATTTAATTTTGTCTTTTTGACACAGGTGGTGTTATTTTGACAAACTATAAGCAAAATGAGTGTTTGGGTCACAGTGCAGTAAGAAATAAGTAACTAAATTTTCTTGAATAAATGTGCTCTCTTCTGCCCAGCAAAAACATGTGACATTTAGTGATGTTTCCACTCAGTTATACTCAATGTTTCTAAATGAATATTCCCAAATTAACCAACTATCGATATGCCATGAAAGAATTTGGATACTGACTCATGCAGACTTGCTGATTAGTAACTGGTTTCCCACAAAGGGAGTTGTCAAAAGGAGATTTTCTGTCCACTTTGGTGAACAGAAAATAATACATTACACAACATAGTATAATATAGGTACATTTAAATCTGATTACTGAGCTCAAATAGGTTTCAGAGGCAACATTGCAAATGAAGGGAGAAAATGCTATGGGTCCCCAGTAATGTAAAGCTGAAAACATCATCTGACATGATCTTACTCTACTGGGTTACATAAAACTCTAATATTTCACTGTGGTCCGACAGTATAAAAGCTCGACTGAGTGGCTAGGGTTGTAGCTCTGTGGTAGAGTGCTTGCCTAGCATTTATAAGGCACTGGGTTCATTCCTTACCACCACATAAAAATAAATAAGCTGGGCATGGTAGCACATGCCTTAATCCCAGCAGCTCAGGAGGCTGAGGCAGGAGGATTGCAAGTTCGGCCTCAGCAAAGGCAAGGCACTAACTCAGTGAGACCCTGTCTCTAAATAAAATACAAAACAGGGCTGGGATGTGGCTTAGTGGCTCCTGAGTTCGATCTCTGATACCCCAAGAAATAGAATAAAGGTGTTGTGACCATCTACAACTAAAAATATTTTTTAAGAAGTTCAACTGATTGAAACATTAAAAAGGCAATGGGCTGGGCATTGTGGTGCACATCTATAGATCAGCTACTCAGGAGGCGGAGCCAGGCCACTCTGGGCAACTTAGTGAGATCCCATCTAAAAAAGGGCCAGAGAAGTAGCTCAGTGGTAGAGTTCTGGAACATCAGATCATGTTGGATCTTCTGCCCATTCGAAGGACTCTGTTTTTTTTTTCAATCTGAGATAAGAACTCATCAGAAAATTTTGAGCCAACGACATGATCTGACTTAACTGCATGCAGTCCTGAGTATAGACCAGCGTAAGAAGGTCAAGGGTGCCTCCTGTAAGGTATTGAATATGAGGTGGGCTTTGGGTTCAAGGTAGTGATCTGGGGTCATTAGTGTTCCTTAGAAGTCATGAGAGTGGGTATGGTCCCTGTGTGTGAATGCTAAGCACCACCGAGGGAAGGAGCCAGGCAGCTGGAAGTGGTACCGCAAGTCTCAGGAAGGGGAGGTTCTCTCACACTCACTGCCTGATGGTAACCCCCACAGGAGCTTACCTAGGAAACCTCACACAGACGTCTGCTTGGCAGCTGTCTGTTCAGCCTTCGCCTGGGAGTGCGCGTACCTCAGTGGTAAAGCACCTGCTGAGAGTGCACAGGGCTGGGTTCCATCCCCTGCAGGAAGAGAGAGAGGGAGAGAGGAGCCTTGGCACAGGCCTAAAGTCCCAGCATCTGGGGAGACTGAGGCTGGAGGATCAAGAGTTCAAGGTTGAGGCGGGGGCTCAGTGGGGAAGCACTTGCCTAGCACGTGTGAGGCACTGGGTTTGATCCTCAGCGCCACATAAAGATAAATAAAATAAAGGTCTTGTGTCCAACTATAAATAAAAATATTTATTAAAAAAAAGTTCAAGACCAGCTTTAGCAGCTTGAAGAGACCCTGTCACAACAATAAATAAGGCTGGGGAGGTGGCTCAGTAGTTAAGTGCAGAAAGAAAGGGAAAGAGAGAAAGCAGGCGCCCACCCCCCTGTGTGAATCCTCACCACAGGGAGGACTGTTTCAAAACTGCTTATGCAGCCCTCATTTCACCCTCAGTGCCCCTGTGCCTCTGCTCTTGGCTGTGCTCAGTTTATACGGCATGCGCAGGCATGTTCCTACTGGGAGGCTATTCTGTCACTAAAGTACCCATGTTCTTTAAGGGATATCTTTCTTTTTTCCTTTGCTTTTTTTTTTTTTTTTTAAGTTGTACCTTATTTATTTTTATGTAAGGATTGAACCCAGTACCTTGCATGTGCTCTACCACTGAGCCCCAGCCCAGCCCAGGAATACCCTGTTGATTATTATCTAGGTTGACATATTGTATGTGTATTCCAACTTACGTGTTTGTTGTATATTAATTTGTAAAAAATCAGTCCCGTTGGAAAGTGTGAATACAGAAGGGGGCTCAGTTAATCCTGGAGTGGACCAAAGGGCTCAGAAAGAAGGACAGCATTGGGGAAGGTCCCTCTATAATGAGTTGTGCTGCCACAGCTCAGAGCACAGAGCCTGGTGACCATGCACTGAACCCTCGGGAACCATTAGCCAAATAAACCTTTCCTCTTTATAAGCTGATAGTCTCGGGTGTTTTGTCACAGTGGTGAAAAGCTGGCTAACACAATGCCTATGGTTTCAGTTGTTTAGGATTCTAGGAAATACAAGTGACTCTATCGAGATGGAAGTTTAGTGTGCATTACAGGTGTGCACCACCAGCATAGGCCTCTAACTTGGAATCCTCCTGCCTCAGCCTTCTGAGATGCTAGAATCCCAGGCGCGCACCGCCGTCCCCCGGTCCTATATTCTTTATAGTTCCTCCACTTATTCCATTTCTACTAGAGTTAACAGTTCTTTAAAGATGTAAATTGTTCAAGTTACTGCGCGGCCCTTTCTCCTGAATAATACAAATGACCCCAAGTGCAGTGAAGGCAAGACTGCACGGGAGGAGCGGACGAGGTGCTGGGTGAAGGGCCCCAGCCGTTTCGGCAGGTGGAAGGAGGCGAGGCGGCGCAGGGCGCACTCACGGAGTTCAGCTGCCTCAAGGGACCCAGGCGCAGAGCCGCTGGCGTCCACTGGGGCGCTGGCTGCGGGCCGGCCGCGGCCATACTTGGCACGGCTGCCACTGCGGGGCGCTCCCCAGGCAGCTGGGCGTCGGAGCAGGAGTGCCTGGCCAGGTCCTGGGTCCTGCGCCGTCGCGGAGCACCTCCCTGAGCCGAACGCAGGGGAAGTGCGGCCCAGCCCCACTTCGGGCCTCGCTCCTAGCTGCCCTGGGAAGACCCTGAGGCGTCTTCAGACCGAGGGCTCCAGTCCCCAAAACCCCTCTTGTGACTGCTGTCCTCAGCCAGGAAGAGGCTGTCCAGGCTGTGTCTCCTGGGGGCCCTACGGTGTCACAGTGACGTGGGCCTGGGGCAGGAGGAAAGCTGCCGAACCTTTTCCTAAGACAGGGCGGAGCATTCCCACACATCGCAGTCCCCCCATTATCACGCAGCCACCTTGGATGGACGGTCTGGGAATTCCACCTGTGGGTCTCAATCCCCAGGTCCAGGTTGTCCCAGGGTGCTGCCACCACCAAGGGTTGGAATTGCCATTGCAACAGAAAGGGCAGGGACTGCTCACAGATGTGTCACTACAAGTGTCCACACTAACAGTGTGATGACAAAACTGCATTGCTGACTTCCACTTCTGGCTTCACAGAGGAACAGGGACTTGATTGATCCTCCTGACTTCAACAGTAAAATAACCTGGGAACACATGGAATGGTTGTTTTCAGACAACAGGCAGGAGAGGACA